CTTATTTCACTGATGGTTAGTGAATCTCTTTTCCCTTCCAGTCACCAGCATAGTTAGAAAATAAAAATCAATAGGTTCTCTCCATCCAAACAGGAGTTCTGAAAACAGCACTTGGGGAGTAAGTCCTGGCTTATTGCTTCTCTGTTGACAAGTGTTGCTGGAGAAAAGACAATCACTTTGTTAATGAGAGGCAGAGTTTCTGCTTCACTTCCAATGACCAAGTTTTACTGTTTCAATACCAGAAAACAAAATAGTGAATGTAATAGTTATAAAATAACAGCAAATGGAAACATGTTGTATATATTTACCATGATTCAAGGGATTTTTAAAAATTATGCTTCAAAAGCCAGGAATATGGTTAAAATTACTTCTCACCATGCAGTGGTAATCAGACACAGAATAGTATGTGGGGCAATATCTGGAGATAGGATGAGTAAAAGAATAATTAAATTTTGATGTTCTGCTTTCTCTACAAATAAGGAAATAATTAGATATTCTGATTAAAAAACTGACACCAAGAAATACCCAGGCCTAGCTCTAGCTGCTGGGTTATCATTTCTACTGGGAATTGAGCAAGGAATTTTTTTTCCTTTGAATTGATCATTAATAGTATTTCCCAAAGTAATTCTAGTTTGGTTAATGCAACATTCTGCCCTCTATTTAGCTTCTAGAATTTATAATTTACTATTTTAAACAAACAGATGCCCATTTGTGTTAAATTTATGAGTATTTGAAATATTTCTATATTGGTAATATGGTTTACAAGTTTTTGTTTTATGTTTTGAGGGGGTTGCATAAATTAAGGAATTGGGTTAAGAAGGAAAGGTCTTGTTAGTTAGGTTAGTTAGTTAGTTGGCCCTTTTTAGAAGGGTTTTATAGGAGTCGTAGTTGTCTTCAGTCATTCTGCCTCTATTTAGTTCTTTGAACAAACCTGCTGATTTTTGGCCTCAGGGCCTTTACACGTGTCAACACAGCTGAGGAACTATCTCCGACTGCTCCTGCCTACCTCAAACCTTTACATGATCAATCTCTTCTAGTTTTGGTAGACTCTCGTTTAATGTCTCCTTTTCAGAGAGGCTGGTTGAGACTATTTAGTCTAAAGTAGGCTCCCTTCTTTTATCATTTCTTGTTACAACCACCTCTTTTTCTTAGTAATGCTTGTTATAATTTCTATTATACCTTTATTTGTTTATTGTATGTTATCTAATTCTAAAGGCAGGGAACATGCCTGTTGTATTCACCTGTATAGATCAAGCAACTCTCTGGTATTTCTTAGGGGCTTGATAAATATTGTTAAATGAATAAATGATTGAAAGAGTACATCTGAAGGAAGAGAAGAAGGACCTTCTTTCTGAAGGGAGGCTGCTAACCTGGCAGAGTGAGTAAAATGTAGGGAATAATAAACTGATAGTAGGAAAAGGTGGCAAACGGAGTAGGTAGAAGTTGCTGTATTAATATCAGGCAGTTGGGAACAAATTGTAAGCAGAATGAGAGTGGAAAGTGTTGAGAATAGTGTTGATGTCTTCTATTGGAGAGGACTGTCAATCTGGTTATTTCACGGAAATGGGATTATATATTAGCTTAAAATACACTGCATTGAACTCTAGCTGTTTTGTTTAAGCAGTGTTACCAATGGAAGGCATGGGCATAATTTTACATATCTTTATATTTACCATAGTGTCTAGCTGTGTCTTATCCTTGGGTGGCATTCAGGAGATACTTGTGGAATACTCATTGCCCGAATGAAAGAATAATTGCAAAATTATCTGCTGAAAAGAGCAGCTCAATTCTTATATCAGCTTAAGATAAGTATGTGAATTACAATTATCAAAATGTATTCTCACACTAGCAGATACCTCCTTATACTTGTGGCTGTCTGGTTTCCAGTTTACTGGACTTTCAGTTCATCCTTGAAAGAAAGATGACTCTTAACTAGTCTCATTATTTTAAAATAGTATATAAGTATATAAATATTAGATATGCATACATATGCATGTGAAGGTGCACATACACACACTATATATTTTTAATGTATATATTTAAAATATCACAAACTTTTTAATCATTCTATTGAATTTTTTCTATCCTTCAAGTATACTTATTGACTGTAATCTTGTGTAGCCCTTGTCTTGCCTTATTCAGGCTAAAATTAGTTGTTTCCATCCAGAGGACACATAGTATATATACACGTCATCACAAACACATTGAGCATATGTTCCAGCTACTTTGCAAGCACAACTCACTAAGGTAGATATTGTTACCTCCATTCTACTGATGGGAAAATTGAAGATTTGGTTGGTGAAAAGAGCATTCTCACTGAGGTATGCTGGAATTTGAACCTAGGCTTTTTGACTTCAAAATTCTGTTCATGCTATAGCACTCTGTCCAACCCAAACATCTAGAAAAAGGGAACTAGGGCAGATTACTTGAGGAGTTCAGGGCAAAAAATAATTGGGACGATCGCAGAATTTTGATTTTTTTTTCTTGATTAGGCTAATATTCATGCCCTCCCCACTCACTTTGGTGTATTTTAAAGATCTGGACATTTGGGTATAAAACTGAATTATTTTTCTCTTCTTTCCCAATAAGTATTTCCTTACTTATGCTCTCTTGTTATGTACTTTGACTACATACTCTTTTACTTTGCCAAGTTAAAGCCTATGTCACTTATGTCACTTAGAGATAGTTGATAGAGTGCTAGCTCTTTCTCTCTCCCTTCCTTCCTCTCTTCATCTCTCCCTGCTTCTTTTTTGGCATTATATAGAATTCTCTAATATTTGATTCCTAATTCAATTAACCATGAGGCAGAGATTTCTATTTTTCTCCCATCTTTTTCGTCAGCGAGAGTTCTATATGAAGAAAATATTCAGAATGAAAGTCATCAGCAGGGTTTAAAGCTGGGAAATTATAACATCACTGAAATACTGCTTTTCAACTTGACAAAATAAACAATAAATTGGTAATATGCATTGTTAGCACTGGTGAGAGTGCAGTAAATAGGAACTCATATGCTAGGAGAAGTGTAAATTTTACAGCTTTTCTTATCTGTAATTGGCCATTTATGTCAAAAGCTTGACATTAAAAAAAAATTCTTCCCTCATCAACTTTACCCAAAGGAATGGACACTAAAGAACTACTTAGATGTATCTGCACTGATTTTTGAACAAGAACATTCAGTGCAGCGTTATTTTACTGAAAAATATTTTAAATAATTTAAACATCTAGCAATCCAGAAAGAGAAAGAAAATATGGTACAACTATTGGAAGGACTTTTAGTACACACATTAAATTCATGTTTTTCGAAATAAAGATCTAGGAAATGACTCGCTATACAATGGTGAATGAAAAAAGCAAGATGTTAAATACGGTATGATTTTATATTTGAGAGCACTGACAAACAACCCTTAAATTTCAGCCTCCATTGCTTAGCATGATAAAGGCTTATTTTTCGCTGTGAATTTGTGACTCTGACAAGCTCAGTAAATGGCTTCAAGACTGCTGGGGTCATTCAGCTAGTAGATGGGGAGAGGGGAAGAGAAAGGGCATGGACAGGGGACTCTCTCTCTCTTAACTGCCTCGTCCACAAATGATGCATTACTTTTGCTCACATCCCATCAGCAAAAGCTAGGCACCTGTTCCTTTTCCCCTTAAATGGCAAGAGGCTGGGCAATGTAGTTTTGTGACCATCAGAGCATCTCATCTTCAAAGAGACTGGAAGATATTTCACAAAATTATTAACATCTCTAGTGAGGTCATTCGTGACTTTTCTTTTTTGGTGTGACTTTTATTTTCAACGCTATGCTATTATTGTCTGAATTTTCTAAAATAAATGTAAATTCAATTTATATCAGATAAAACTATAAACATTAAAAAACCTTGAAGTGCAATATGAGGGCCAGCTCTGTGTCGTCCCTTTGGAGGTGCGGACAGGTTGGGGCACTCACCATTGTGTATGTTTTAATATGGCCTTTTATCTTAAGAGATTGTTCAGTCACTCGTCAAAGCGTCAGCAAATCCTCTGAGCACACCATTAGGAGGTCCCTTCTCTATGCCTGGGTGATTTGGATATAATATTTATTAATACAGGTCAGGCTGGCTTGGAGGATTTTCCATTCTTCCCTCGTTGTTCCATTAAGTTTCGTTCCAAAACCTTTCCCTTTGTCCAAGAGAATGTTTGCTGCTAGCAGAAGTGGGAAAGTAACAAGGCAAATGTTCTCTCTTTTCATAGTTTGTTAAAAAGTTATTCTTTAGCAAAACCACTTGTGCATGAAGATGCAGATTGAAAATGCATCTTACACAATGCTGATGAAGTCTAATAGATGATTAAAGAACTAGTTTTAAAAGCTCTAGGTTGGCATGTAGTCCATTGCCTTTTTTTTTTTTCTTAAAGTGAAGTGAAAGTTTATTAAGTGAAGTTGAGAACAGAAAGGAAGAAAAAAAAGCTCTCTAGGGAAAGAGGGGTCCCGAATGGGTTGCCCAGTCCACTGCCCTTTTTAAAGATCACCTGCTGACAGTGTGGGACTGAAGATGGAAGCACAGTAGGAAGACCAAGACTCGTCCCATCCTACACATTAGATTCCACATTTTTTTCTCTGGCCTCCACCCTGGACAGAGAATTGTAGAGATACTTTTCTGCTAAGATCCTTTTCAACACTCATGGTTGGCTTCAAAGTTGAAGTCTTTTCATTTCCTTGCTCCCTACTTACTTTTTGTTTCACTGCATGCCACTTACTTGCACTTGTCCTGTTAAAGAGTCCACCATGGCTGTTTAATATTTAAAGGCTGGGATCATTTGCCGGTGTTAGTTTAAAGGTAACCATAGCACACACACACACATTCATTATTAATAGCAGAGATGCACTGTAAGTTCTTAGGAATCTTCTTTCCTTTCGATGTTAGTTTCGTATGGGTGTTGCTCTCGGGAGAATGAAGCTCTCAAATAGCTATGTGGCAAGTGGACTCTTGCAATAACAAGGGATCCAGAATTATGTGAAGTGCTTATGTGGGTGGAAGTGATCATGCTGAAAAGGGACATAAAGGCAGAAAATGACAGGCCACGGAAAGTCCGGTTTCGGATCGCATCATCTCATAGTGGGCGGGTTCTGAAGGAAGTGTACGAAGATGGGCAACCATCAGGCTCTCTGGACTCTGAGTGTGCCAGCATCTGGGGGATAGACGGACTGAGTGAGTCTGATGGACAGCAAGACGGCCACATAGGATCGGAAGGTGATGAGTGTGAGAATGACCAGGATAACTTGCTGGTGTTAGCAAGGGCTGCCAGTGAGAAGGGTTTTGGTACAAGAAGAGTCAACATTTTAAGCAAAAATGGCACAGTCAGAGGCGTCAAATACAAAGTGAGTGCCGGCCAAGCTCTATTTAACAATTTGACCAAAGTACTGCAGGTAAGTCAATGCACTTTGCTCCTCCGGGGCTTTGTTCCTAACTCACCTTCTCAGTACCTCTCTGCCCTCTAGTTGAAAGCAAGCCTCTCTTATTCATGACTCCTACATACTTCATGAGTCACTCCTCCATCTAAGATATTGTTTCAACAGCCATCGATTAAAAATAGGGTCATTATGCTTAGCAAATTAGATGGATTCCCAAAGCCAAATTTCTAACATTTGAGTGGTCTTTTCTTCCAGTGTGCAATGACTAAAACAATGCATCTGTTTCTTAGCCAAGAAAAAAAAAAAATGACAGACTATAGTGTTCAAAGCATCTGAGCACAATTTAGAAGTTAATTTCTGGTTTATCATCCTTGAGATACCAGATTAGCATTTATCATCTCTTGTATAGATTTTTAAACCAGAGAAGATGGAGTGCTGCATTCAGTGGCACTGGATTCAGTTGGAATAGTATGAAGCTGTAAAGATGAACTTGGACTCTCTCCCACTGCTCTGGAGGTTGCAGGTTTTATCTGAGGTGCATTTCTTCATTCATTTGCCCATGAGAACTCTAGAATGGCACTTGAAGAAGTTATTCCTCTATAAATATATAGACTGAGATCCAGATTTTATAGTAAAAACATTAGCCTTGAAAATGTGATAGATTCTGCACAGTAATGTAGAAATGTATTATTCAGATCCTGGGGCCTTTGGCAATGATCTAATGTTTAGACAAAATTTTGAAATTGCCCGGAAGCATTGGTAAAATGATTTTCTGTTAAAAACGACATCATTATTTCAGGAATAGAATTCATAATCACTATCATTAAGGTAGCAAGCCAATATTTTTCATTGTAATACCATTTTATATGATTCTCAATATTTAAATAAAATCTCCTTGATGAATTATTCAGTGCCTCTGCATTATATAAGGATGCAGTAGTGGTAGGGAGAAAGGGTTTTAGCCAAAGGCATTCGATTATTTTTCATTTCGAAGGAAGTATTTGGAAAGATCACATCACCAGGATTTTAAAAAAAGAAATTAAAGGGTAAAAACAGTTAAGATCCAGGGTTCTTTTCATATATAGAATTTATCCCTGAAAGATTTCACTGGTTAAGGGTGGGGGTGGGGAATCAAAAATTAGCAACTGATGACTATGTTTGACTAGGTTGGAAAAAATCTTGTATAGATTTCTAGAGATGTGACTATCAAGTTGAGATCATCTTGGTGGCCTCTGTGTTTCACCCACTGCAGAAATTATTCCTGCCAAGGTGTAGACCAAGACTCTATAATAATTAAGTTTAAAAAAATGTTTGCATTTATTGTGATTAATTTAGCTTTTACTTGAATCATGATTTGAATTGCTTTATGATCTGGAGGGTTTTACAAAACTGCTGCACCAGTTTTAGTACTTTGATTTGAATTTGTTCAATTCTCCCCAAAAAACTATTATTTATGAGTAAATAATTTAAATCTTCAAATCCTACAAGAGAAAAACTTTTCCTCCCTATGGCTTTGTCCTGGTGGAGCAAGAAATTCACCCATAGGAGATAAAGGAAATTCCAAAATCAAATGTTAGCACTAGATTAGTTTACAGTCATTTACTTGTATATTTTTCTTTCCCTTTTTTAAGATTTTATTTATTTATTTGAGAGAGAGAGTGAGAGTGAGCACAAGCAGGAGGAGAGGCAGAGGAAGAGAGGAGAGAAGCAGACTCCCCGCTGAGCAGGGAGCCCGACGTGGGGCGTGATCCCAGGATTCTGAGATCATGACCTGAGTGGAGGGCAGACGCTTAAGTGACTGAGCCACTCTCTACTGCTGTATTTTTCTATGCGTAATTCCATCACCCTTTTTCTTGAGAAAAAAATCCAATAAAACTGTCATTTCCTAATAATTTATCCCCACTCCATTTACCCTTTGCTTTAAGAAAACAATAGTGGTTACTAACAGAGGCCCCTCAAAGTCTGATATTTAATTATTTTTTTTCTAGCTGGTCCTTCTTTCTTTATAATGTGGGTAAAGTAATCAGCATATTGTAGGTACTCACAAATTTTGACCATCATCATTAGTTTCATCGTAATCATCACCACTGTTGTTATGGAAAGTTCTCTGATTTCTCCAGGACGTAACATAAGTTAAAGGAGCTCTTACCTTGGATGGGAGCTGCCAGATGCACTATTTTAGGGGGTTCCCTTCACATCGTTGTGTAAACAGCACCCCTTGGAGTGGTGCAATACACCTACACAGCATTATAGAGAGAACTAACTTGGATGCTTGCTGCTTGCTAAAGGATAGGTATGTCATAAGGAGTGACAAATGTCTGCGGCATGTGCCTTAGGGTGACTGAGTAGGTTTTCCACAGTGCAGTAGCAGGGAAGCCCCAGGGACTAAAGGTAGAAGTTACCATTCAGTTACTCCTATGGCTATGGGACCAGATGTGACTCTTCCCTGGATCTCTGTATATTTTCTACATCCCTTAGAAAGTAAGCGGCAAACTTAACTGGACGTAACTGTGATGTAGCAATTTTTCTCAGGGAGGGAAAAATGAGGAGTGGTATCTTAGATATTTGATTAAGGTTTCAATGCACAATCTTATTGAAGCAAGGAAATATAATTGAAGAAACAGGTCTTTCTTCCTGTTTTAAGTTATAAAATCTTAAAGCACTCAACTTGAAACTTGAGAGGAAACACTGAATATAAATAAAAGCTTCCAAAGAATCTGTAAATCACTTGGCTTCCTCACTGTTAGTTTCCCATTCTGTTATTCCTGTCTCCTAGAATATTGGCGTGTATCTTGCAAAAATTTCAACTGTACAGAGAGTAGTCTTTGAAATTATTTGCCTCAAACATTTATACTTCTTTAGCAGTACTTTTTTTTTTAAAGATTTTATTTATGTATTTGTCAGAAAGAGAGAGAGAGAGCACAAGCAGGGGGAGCGGCAGACAGAGGGAGAAGCAGGTTCCCTGCTGAGCAAGGAACCCAATGTGGGCCTCCATCCCGGGACTCTGGAATCATGATCTGAGCCGAAGGCAGATGCTTAACCAACTGAGCCACCCAGGCCTCCCTCTCAGCAGTATTTATTTAGAAAATTATCTATAAAAGAGATGTTAGAGCAAATTCCCAATTTACTTGTTAATTAGTTTACCCTATAGAATTCTGGGTGGTTGAGGATACGCAGTATCAATTAAGGTTTTTGTGGGTAGGAATGGACCAGGAGGTAAAAAGAGAAAAGTCACTTGAATGCTTAGGTGGGCCTTATAGAGGGTGGTTCATTGTTTCATTTGTGAATCACTCAAGGCCTCCAATGGGTCAAGATTATGGCTCTTCAGATACAGGTGCTTGGCTTTTCCATTTCTCCCAGAAACGACAAGAGTATAATGCTCAAGAGAGGCGGGTTTGGAAATCTGAAAACCTGAAATCTAGTTGTGGCCTGGAAATATGCATTTATTAGCTGCTGTTTAGGTTGTTTGTACATACACTAAAGTTTGAGAATCACTGACCTAGCGTGTAAAAGGGAAATTCATCCAGTTCACTAGAGTTAATAAAAATATTCCTTAATGTCCTTTATGTCTTCACTATTTAAGGGGGGAAACAAAGAAGTTATGTATTGATCTGTTACTTGTTCTTCTGATCATGTTAGATCACCAGGAAAGTCTTTCCTGAGCCAAAGATAAATACAAATATCCTGACAGACTTGTTTCCTACTGGTATCCTAATTTACCAATGTGTTGGTTTAGAAATGGTTCCTGAAATTACCAGTACATTATGATGTAGGTGTTCTGTTTTAGCTCTTTTTAAGATATTCTGCTGAAGGGATAATCCTACCTAGATAAATGATTTTACTACTCATAACTGGAAAATGTTAGAAAAAATTATTTTTTATTTATTTTTTTAAATTAGTTACTTCATGGAAGACAAGTTACAAAGCCACTATATAGCTCATAGCTCTCGTCCACTTGGTGCATGATTAGATTTGAGATACACCTGGATCTTAGTGGCATCATATTTCCAAAGTCTCTTGGGGTGGGTCAGTGATGCAGATAATTAAGGTCATTTGTTTTTTTCTAATATTTTCTTCCGGGATTAAATTTCAGATGGTAATTAAGAATCAATAATCTTGTCTTGACCCTATCTTCAAATATGTATAATCTGTTGTATGCTCAGAATCTCTTTCTGTAATTTCTATAATTTTAATCCCCTCTTTTTACAAATTTAAAACTACTATATTAGAGAAAAATAGATGCAAAAAAGGAAAATAGTTATACCACATATTATGCTGGCTCTTTTAAAAAAACTCAAACATATAACTTTCATCTTTGTATTTACATGAACATCTGTGATTGATGTGCTTATAATTATGCGCATTTTAACAATTCAAGATAAGGAAAATAAAGATAATCATACATTTGCAGAACAATTTGCATTTTGCAAAGGTTTTCACATACATTATTTTATTTGATCATACTGAAGATTTTTGTGAAATAAGCAGGAAAATGACTATTATAATGCCTGTTTGTAGATAACTGAGTGTCAGAGAAATCAAGCGTCTGACCCAAAGCTAGTAACATGAGAACCCTGCCTTTCACTGTTTAGGCTTTGTTAGTTTTTAAAAGTACAATGCTATCTACAAGAACACTCAGCCTTACCTTTTGAAATGTTATAATTACAAATAAGAAGATTGGTAAAACTAAATCATATCATAATATACTTATCATAGTTAACAATGTTATGATATGATTTAGTCTTTTGAAACTTCAATATTTTTGTAGCAGATTTAAAAACCTATTGTTTATTGAACATTCAAATCTTCGCCTAGGGAAGGTTTTTCTACAGAATTAAATAGCTTCCACTCAGTTTCAAATTTTATTTTCAAAATTTAGCAAAACTTATCATCTCTATAACATCATTTGATTAAATTGTTTTGAGATTGAAAGGAAGGGGGTGATGGGTTAGCTCAAGGAAGACCCCTGCTCAGCGATGTTCACTAACTTTAGAGATGGATGATTAACAGAAATT